CCCCAAAACCCCAAAACCCCAAAACCCCATGATACTTTTAAAAACAAAATTTCTTAAATAAGCTTTAATAGAAATATTGACAAAATAAAAGTTAATTTTCATAGGGATCTATCGTAAAGATTTATGATTAATATCTGTAAAAGTATAAAATTAAACTCATAATTAGAGAATCTTCATTATGCCAGAAGAGCCTAAAAGAAAGAAAAATTCTTGTCGGAGATACGTGAAGAGTGCAGACATTTTTGCTAAGCCTATACAACTCACATTCAAAGGAAAAGAGAAATTTCAAAGTTTTGCAGGTGGATTTTTATCTGTTCTTGTGTTTCTATTTATCTTAAGTATTTTCGCATACAAACTTCGTGATATGATTTTAAGAAATCAAGCTTAGATTAAAAAGAATACATTAGTTAAGATAAGTAACTCATATTCACCTCCTGAGGATTTATCTTCAGGAAACTTATCCTTTGCATTCAAACTATCTGATTTCTATGGTAATGCGATCGTTGATGAACCACGGCACGGAGAATTAATATTAAAATAGTTCGATATAAAAATTCATATAAATGAAACAGATGGAACAAGCTACAGAACCTTTGACAACTATATTGTACCAACATCTAAGTGTGTAGTAGGAAAGAACTTCTTCTACCCAGATCTGAATGAGATTAATTAGCATAATATTGGATTATACAAATGCCCAGATTGGAATAATTTAACTATTCAAGGCAACTGGTATGCGCCTGAATATAAAGGAATCACATTAGTTTATTAAAGATGCCAGAATAAATAGATTTGCTCAAGTGATGATGAATTTAAGCAATGGTTTGCACCTATATTGATTCAAGAAATATTTACATCTTCCTACTTCAACATTGGAGATTTCAACTCACCTATCAAATACTTCTTGGATGATATTTGGTATAATTTATAATATGGCAGGAGTGTTGTGCTTTAAACTTTTGTAAAAAAGAATTTGATCGAGCTATCAGATAACCTGTTTGGATTATTTTATACTTAGGTGAACGATTACTTCTATGAAATGTCTAAAACAGTGTATTTCACAGCAGATGACTAGAAAGGTCCAGGACCTGGGGTGATGTTTAGCCAAGATATTATACTTGATAAATAATTTGATATTTATAGCAGATAGGTATATACTTTAACAGGAGTACTGCAAGATATTGGGGGATTTTATAACTCTTGCATTTTCATTTGTGTTGTGCTTTATACAAGATTCTAATACACGCTATTCTTTTCAGAACTCATTTCTAAGGTATATTAAGTTGATCTTAGAGGAAGATAAAGAAAGAAGAAATATGACCTAGATGGAGTAGATGAAGAAAATTCGACAACAAACATAAAAATGAAATCCTTTAATTTCTAGAGAACTTACTCTAATTCTCAAATATCTTAATATGTAAAGCATTCCTCATCTAACATCACTGAAGAACTCTTAAAATATCTAGGATCATATGTGAGTGCGAGGTATAGAATGAGACTATCTTGCAAAGAGATAATGAAAGCGCATATATGTAGATTACTCTGTTTCTTGTGCTGGAATAAAAGACGCGGCAAAGAAGCTCATAGATTAAAGCTTTAAAAGAAAGGTGAAGAGAAATTAAGGAAAGAGTTAGATTGCGTAAATATAATGACGAAGATGAGGTAGCTTAAAATCTTCTTGTCATATTTCTTTAATAAAAGGTAGAAATTTATGATGATGTTTGCCAAATAAAATTTATTATAACTCTCTGAATCATCTAACTCAGAAGATGACTATCAGAGAATTAAAAAAATAATATAAAATGCTGATGTATTAAATAATGATGAGAATGATTACAAAGCATAAAGCTTAAATTTGCCCTATAAAAGATAAATGAATGAGGCACTTAAGCACTATTTTAATCCTAAACTAACTTCTGAGATTGATAAGAGGCTATTGTTTGGATTGTTAAAGAAAGATCCATCAAAATTAGCTAATTAGCAAGAGTCTGGCGGCTCATCTGATAATATCATTGACATGAAGAAAAATCTCAATAAAGACCCCACAATGATATAGTCTGATTATGACTCTCTAGACCACAGTATGATATCTCCATATTAAATTTCTCATAATAATGCTGCCGATAAGACAGTCAATGATTTTCATACATAAGGTACCTTAGTTTAGGCGACAAATAAATTTCCTCCTTAAGACAAGACAATTAGAGATGGAATTGGCACACTGAAAGTACTAATGTAGAAAAAAGCAAAGATATCTAAAAATGGTTCTAAATCAAAATCAAGAATGGTGGCAATTGAAGGCAAGCATGAGAAATTCACTCATACTCATACAATGAAAAACAAAAAGCTTATGAAAACAGCTAATCATGAACTAAGTTCTGATGATGATGATAAATCTCTTGGACAGGTTTTCAAGAATTGACAAATAAGAATTTCATTACCAATAAATAAGTGATATTTCAATTACTAGCATACGATAAATATAAATATTATTTTATCTCATTAAAGATTTCAGTATTTTCAAAATTGTCTGATAATTAACAGCCGGGGTTTTGGGGTTTTGGGGAGATCGGAA